AATTACCCAAAAAAAAATAAAAATAAAAGTAGAAAAAGAATGTGAGAATCTAAAATGATTACACCATGCATGAAATTTTAAAAAATAATTAAAAAAAAGACCGGTGACAATTACAATTTTGCCACTAGCCATTTTTCCTTTTTTTCTTCTTCCTTATCCTCTACAAATCCTAATTAACAACAACATTCTCCCTATCACTTCTCCCACCATCGCCAACCACTCCCAAAGCCACGTCTGGCCTCCTCGCTTCTCCTCTCCCTTCCTTTTTTTCTCTATTCTCTCTTTTCTAACGTTTCCAATGTTGGCATCCTCCTCTCTTACTATCACCAACTACTCTCCAACTCCTTATGCTTCTCTCTCACTCATTTCTATTTCTCTTCTCTTCTTGTTTCTCATCCTCTACAAGCCTTAATGATGTGTTTGGTTGAGGGATTTGAGGAGAGATTTGGAAAGGGAAATGAAAAAGGTAGGTGAAATGTGAATAAAACATGTTTATATTTCACCTAGTTTCACACATCTTTTCCCTTTCCCTTTTCAAATCCTTCTCAAAATCCTCTAACCAAACACAGCATAACATTTTCAGTGTTAGCATCACCATTCCCTACAGCAACTAACTACTTCTCTAGTTTCCTTTCGTTTTTTTCTACTTATTTCTCATCATTTCTTAACTTATGTAGCTCATTTTTAGCCCTCCATTTGCCATCCCAACTCCTATGCCCTCATTGCAAACCAAACCTCATTGAAATTATTATAAAAATCGTGGTCTTACAATCCCATTCTTTTTGTCTCATATAATCTTGAGAGGGTAATTTTTGGTAAAAATTGGGCCGAGCTGTGTGATGGGAATTGTGGCCCAAAGTGCCAAGGACTGGGTGAAAAAAACCGCAAAGTTATTCCGGCCCAGGAGAAGTGTAGTTCCTCCGGCCCAGGAGAGGTATGGTTACTCCGGCTCAAGAATGTGTAAAGCTACTCCGGTCCGGAGGCAACTTGAAGTAAGTCCGACCTCACATTTAGTCCGGTCGTGACATATTATGGTTAGATCGGTCAGAGCTTGCTACTTGGAAGCTTGGTCTAAACACACCATGGTTGAACAGGAGAAAGCCGAGATAAGGAGCAGGAGGAGAAAACCGAGCTAAGGATAGTTCGGCCTTCTCTGTGGCTCAGCATAGCCAGCGTTATTTCGGTCATGTGGTAGTTCGGTCATGATGAAAACCATCCCACTTGGTTTAAGCAGTGGGGGGGTGTAAAAGGATAAGCATTATCCTTAGGAGTATGAATCCTAGGAGGACTCTGCATGGAGAAGTACAAGTCCTACTAGGATTGTGCCATAGGAAACTTATAAAAGCTCACAAACATCACCTTGGAGGAGGTAACAGAACACAACACAATTTTGCTTTCTGAGAACATAGAACTTTGTCTATTTGTCAAGTTTTCTGACTTAGGCATCGGAGAGGTTTCCGGCACACACCCGCCGGCTAGCTCACGTTTGTGTTTTCAGGTGATAAAGCGACGTCGTACGGAGGAGCGTAGACTTGGTCAACAGGATTATACGATAAGGCGTATTTCTTTCCCGTACAAATCTCACACACGTTTGTTCTCATTATAGTTGTGGTCTTTTCTCTCTTATCTCCTTTACATTTATGGCAACAAGGAAAGGCAACATAAGAGAAAATCTAAGGATAGCTGAGGGTTGGAGGTGGTGATAGTAAAAGGCATTGAGAGTAAAAAATGGGTGGAAGATGGTTGAATAGGGCTGATAGAGGAGCTGGAAAGGATGAGGACTAGCAAATGTGGAATTGGCTACTGTTAAGAATGAGTGAGAGAGAGATGAAACATAAAAATGATTATAACAAAAAATGAAGGGTAAATTACATTGACACCCTTGAAGTTTATGTTTATTATAGTTCTCTCTCGTATTTGGAAAATTATACTGACCCCCTTTATCAGTATATTTATTTGACGGTGTTAACTTTTAAGTTAAAATGACATATTTACCCTTAACCTTTACATATACCTTAAAGGGTAAATTACATTGACACCCCTTGATGTTTCAATTTAATACGGATTCCCCCTGACATTTTAAAAAAAAAAAAACTAATTTAAATAAAATAAATACGAAGAAATATATTTAATTTGTAAAAAATTATTTCTAACCACTCGAAAGATAAAAATTATATAAAAATGAAAATCATTTTTTTTTATTTCTTAACCAAATTAATTTTTAATTTTTTTTAAAAAAAATCTAAAAATCAAACCATACATAGCCTAAGAATATTTTGATAAGTCATTTCTTACGTTGATAACTTATTTAATTATTTGTTAATTTTACGACATTTTTACCATCTGAAGCCTGTTTGGTAACCATTTCATTTTCAGTTTTCAATTTATATTTACAAAAATTTTAAAAACTGTCATAACAACTTGTTTGATAATTTTTTTGGTTTAAAAATGATTGCCTCAGTTTATAAATTTGAGGAAAAAACGTAAATTCAAAAAATGAGTTTACGTTGGTTTTTAAACATAAATTTAAAAATTCGACTAACAAAATTTTTTTTCAATTAACTTTTTTTTCTAATTAATTTTTTTTTCGACTAATACTAGCCAAGGGGGCAATTGGTAATGCTACTTTAAACCTTAGGGAGGAGATTGTAATTTTTAAAATATAAGAGGTGTTAATATAATTTACCCAATTACGGCAAAATTGGTATTTAAAAAAATTAAATTGCTGACATCAGCAAAATCTGTTAGTTGACTTAACAGTCAACTAACTGAGGGAACAATTTGTAATGAAACTTTAAACCTCGGAGAGGAGATATAATTTTCAAAATGTGAGAGGAAATTATAATAAACATAAACCTCATAGGGTGTCAATGTAATTTATCCAAAAATGAAATAGCAATAATGAAATTTTGACCATATTTTTGCAATTATTTTTTAAGTTTCCATATAAAATGCAATTATTTTAAATTCTTAATTTTATTTTTCTTTAGCAATTATTTACTTTCTTTCAATTTTTTTGCTAAATCAAAATAGGAAGCCAACTTATAAAAAATGGGTAAATTACAAAAACTTCATCTTAAGTTTAAAAAAATATATAATAAACTTCACAAGTTTGACTTAATTATACTAATTTTTTTTTTATTCCAAGAGAAATTAGTGTAATTTATTCTTAAAAAAGTGGGTGTAAATAACAATTCCTATACTTCATGGAGGCAAATTGCAATTTCCTTTAGTTAATTGTTCACATTGATAAAGAAACCATCGGAGGTATAGGGCGTTCCGTATACTCAGTCGGGCTGCTCTGCCACTTCATCCCCTCTCCCGGCGACTCTCCGGCGAGTTCGCCGATCAGATTCATACACCTCGATCACCACCTCTATCGCCTCTTCTTCTTTTCAATCCCTTCAAAAGGTAAAAACCCTAGTTTTGTTTCTTTTGACCAATCAATTGAAAAATTCACATACATATACATCTTCAATTACTGTTATTTACTACTCATGTCACATGTATATGCTGTTAGAATGCCCAAAAAATGGGTTTTCTTGGTCACTCTATTCGATTTCATATGTACATATCTCTCTGATTGTGCATTTTCTTGTTGATTCTTGTTGTGCAAATAGGTGAGTGATTATATTGTTTTATGCAATTTTTTTAGTTTCTGATTATGGGTACTTAAATGTTTGTGGTGTTGATTAGATGGTTTTATTTGTATTTTGATTTTTATTTTATGATAACAAGAAAGTTGAGATATGATGTATTGTGTTGGTTAAGATTTTGATTCATGCTTTTTGTAAAAACATTTACTCTTAAGAAGTAAGAATTTTGAACACAGTATGTATACTACCTCTGCTTATGTTAATTTTGGTGAGTGTGAAGTGTGAACTTGCTGTTGTAGAAATAGAAAACACTGTCAAATTAGTTTTGATTTTTGATTGGCGTATCAACAGTTCTTTTCAAATTCTTGTATTAATGAGATGAGTTTTTGATATTATCTACCTTGACTTGAGCATATGTGTGGTACCAGATGATTGTGTTTAGATGTATGATTGGTAGTGACAGACCGGACCGATATAGACAAAAATGAATTTGTGAGAAGTTAGAGATGTTTAGTCATTTGCAGCCCAGACTGATGACCACACTTTAGAGTGACGTTTAATTAGAAGGCACACCAAAAAAAAAAAAAAAATTAATAAGTAAAAGAAGGGCTAAGGGAAATGTTATATGTGGTTGTGCATAAAAGTGATTTACCATTCTTGGATCTGTCACCTAATCTGTTTTATTACTCATGTCTCAAGAAAAAAGGAGAAATAAAAATCCAGGTGCTTTGATTAATTTCTAGTAACAAACTTGTAGCCCTTACATAATAATATCCCTTAACATACTTGATTTAACAATTGCCTTAAGGCTGAGTGTGAAAGAATTCTAACAGGGACCCCAGTTTTGTGCTTTTGCTTGAATTGACTAGCATATGTTGCTGTGACCGAATTCAAGCTCGGTCATGAATCCATCCAGGTCAATTCGCCATTGTGCCCAGTCTCCTCCTTTATGGGCAAAGTTTTCGTAGTCAAGGTTATATGGGGCATTTATGATGTGCCGGGCAGCAAGGCATCACCCTATTGTAAGAGATTATGAAGCTCTTTGCCTTGCATGAGAAAATTACTATACTTTAGAGGATAGGGAAAGGACCTAGTTCCACAATTTTTGTGTAAAACGATTCTCTGTTTGAAGAGAAACTAATGTATTATTTTAGTTCTTGCACCTTGATGTCACTGATATTGTACATCTATCTTTCAAGTAAGAGTTTCCGTTTTGAGAACTACACTTATAGGGCCCTGATATCAACAAGAATTATTTTTTCAAGGAAAATTTAATTTGGAGCCCAGAATACATACTTACATATATGATTGATTCTCTTATTATCATGGTTTTTAACATTTGAAACCTTTACTTTGTTAGACACTGACAAGCTTTTTTTGCTCCTTTTTCTTTTACTGTTATAGATGGATGATGTTTCTCTCAATAGTGAACCTGTGTATGATGACGAAGCCGATGAATTCGAGATTGAAGGGGATTGTGGAATGACAGAATATATTCGTCAAGGCGGGGTAATTCAAGGAGAAAATCCTATTCCTCCATCTGTGGGGATGGAATTTGAATCCTATGAGGATGTTTATTACTTCTACAATTGTTATGCTAAAGAGCAAGGATTTGGAGTAAGAGTAAGCAATACATGGTATAGAAAGAGTAAAGAAAGATACAGAGGAAAGTTAAGCTGTAGCAGCGCAGGTTTCAAAAAGAAAAGTGAGGCAAACCGGCCCAGACCAGAGACAAGAACGGGTTGTCCGGCAATGGTAAAGTTCAGGTTGATGGACAACAAAAGGTGGAGGATAATCGAAGTCGAGCTCGAGCACAACCACCTTATTAGTCCCAAAAGTGGAAAGTTCTATAAATCCCATAAAAATTTGGGTGCTGGAACAAAACGACCACAGCCGTTAGTTGGTGCCGAAGAAGCTCACAAAGTTAGATTGTTTCGAACAGTCATCATTGATACGGAGGATATTGGGAACTTATATGTTGATGATGGAGAATTTGGGAATACAATTGATCAGTCCAATCAATTGAAGCTTAAACAAGGAGATGCACAAGCTATTTATAATTCATTTTGTCATTTGCAATTGATGAGTCCAAACTTTTTTTATGTAATGGATCTCAATGAGAAAGGATATATGCGGAACCTGTTTTGGGCCGATGCACGGTGCAGGGCTGCATATGGGTATTTTGGTGATGTAGTTTCAATTGACACGACATGCTTGACAGACAAATTTGAAGTGCCATTGGTGGTATTTACTGGAGTAAATCACCACGGACAACCTGTGCTCTTAGGTTGTGGTTTACTTGCAAGTGAGACAGTAGAGTCATTTACATGGCTGTTTAGGGCTTGGCTTACATATATGTTGGGACGGCCTCCACAAGCTATCATTACTGACCAACACAAATCGTTACAAGCCGCTCTTTCTGACGTTTTTCCTCGAGCTTCCCAATGTCTTTGTTTATGGCATATCATGAAAAAAGTTCCCGAGAAACTGGGAGGTTTGAATGGGTATGAAGCGATTATGGTGGCTTTAATTAGAGCAGTTTACCATTCTTTCAGGGCAGATGAGTTTGAAGCAGCTTGGGAGGATATGATTCTGCGGCATGAAATTGGGGATCATAAATGGCTTCAAGCATTGTATGAAGATCGTAAAAGGTGGGTACCAGTATATTTGAAGGAGACATTTTTGGCGGGAATGTTTCCGATAAAGCCAAGTGAGGGAGTGACTTCATTTTTTGAGGGATTTTTACATAAACATACTCCTTTGAAAGATTTTCTCAGTAAATACGATCAAGTTCTACAGAAAATTCATCAAGAAGAAGCCTCGGCAGATTTGGTGTCAAGAACTTCAATATCCGCATTAAAAACAAGATTTTATTTCGAGTTGCAGCTCTCAAAGCTGTACACAAATAGCATATTTAAGAAGTTTCAGAGTGAAGTGGAGGGATTGTACTCTTGTTTTAGTACAAGACAAGTAAGCATTGATGGGTCGATCATTACATACATAGTCAAAGAGCATACAGAAATCACAGAAAATGGGAGGGAAACAAGAGATTATGAAGTTATGTACAATACATCTGAAGCAGAGGTTCTTTGTGCATGTGGGTTATTCAACTTTCAAGGATACTTATGCAGACATGCACTGAACATTCTAAACCAGAATGGCATTGAGGAGATACCTCCTCAATACATTCTTTCGAGGTGGAGAAAGGACATTCGACGTAACTTTGTTCTTGATCATGGGTGCAATGGAATTGATGTTATGAACCCCGTTCACAGGTTTGATCGTTTGTACAAATGTGGGGTCCAGGTTGTGGAGGAAGGGAGGAAGTCGGAAGATTGTTTCAAGTTTGTGTTACAAGCGTTGGATGAGATATTGAACAAGGTTCGTATTGCAGAGGATCTTGTGTAATTTGTAGTTTTGCAGAATCCAATGTGTTGTTACTGCTTTGTACATATAATGTGATCTCTCTTTCTGGTGTACCTGATTTTGCTTGTATACAAGAAATTTTTCTTGTGTGTGTGTGTGGTTAGAGTTTTGGCATGATATTTGGTTGGGAAACAGACAAACTTGAATTTGATAGGAATGGTATTTGCTTGGGAACCAAACAGTGAATGTGGTTAACATAGCGAGGATTTTCAAAAGAAGATGCCATTCGTTTGATGAGAGATAAAAAGGAATATCGAAAATTCGTGTGACTAAAGCTCAAGTAATTACTTTCGAAGTAACAGAAAGAAAAGCAATGACTGGAGTAAGAGAGTTAGTCGAAAAGAAGATTCCTCACTTAGAGCAGTGTGAGATGAAACTCTCATGATTTTGAAGGAGAGATATTAGCAGTGGTTGAAACACAACTCCGTCCTGGATAATGGATGGTATAAAAGGGTCCCAACCAAGAACACCAGTGTGAGTTTTATCAATTAATAAATGTTGCAACAATAAACTTGTTTGGTATAATTTCTCATAAATTAAAAGTTGATAATCAAAAGATAAAAAGTAAAAATTAAAAGCACTTCTTTTCCAGCTTCTTAATAATTATTATTTTTATTATTTAAGTTATTTTATCTTGTAAATTATAAATAGAATTTTGACATATACTTTTAAATACAAAAATAAAATAAAATAAAATAAAAAATAAAAACAGTGGCCTCGTTTGGGAATTAAATATTTTAACTAAAAAAATAAAAAATCATTATAAGTTATCACATCACTTTTTCTATTTTTTACACATCATTTCATAAAAAATAAAAAATTATTAAAAAACATGTTTCCAAAAAATAAAAAATTATTAAAAAACATGTTTCCAAACTAGTGTGTTAAGCAACTATTTAAAAAATTCCAATTTCAGCCATTGTTGTCCAGTGCTCACATGGTACAAGCAGTGGCGGAGGGAAAGCAGGCCGAGGGGTCACGTGCCCCACCCTCAATTTTGAATTTTTTTTTTTTTTTTTTTTTTGTGTTATTGTCATATATAAAATGTATATTTTTTTTCTTAACATGTTTTTTAGTTTAGAGTTTATTGTCTTGTTCACAACAAATAGTTATTTAATATTTTAAGAGTACTATGTAGTATTATTTATGTAATAGTTTAAGCCAATAGTATAGCGCAAAATCTTATAGATTGGATATAATGAACTCATTATTTTTAAGCAATAGGCTACTTAATGTAATTTGTGATTTCTCATGCTATGAGAATCACGTAGGCAATACTATATAGTATTCTAAGACTGTTGAATAATTTTTATTCAAAACACATCATTTATAAATGATGTCATATCTTTAATATTTTTCTGTCAAATAAAAATTAAATAGATTTTATAATAATTTGTACTATAAAGGATGTGTTTTTATTTTCTAAAATTAAGAATTTTGATTCATAATTTTTTGTGTTAAAATTACAAACTTACATCACCATCCCGCACCGAATTATTCTACACTATTATAGAATTTTAATTTATTCCTATTAATAATGAATATATAATTTTTTATACTTAAATTTAGCTCATAAAATTATTATTATCTTAATATTGATCATAATTTTTTTCAAATAAAAAATTATAATTAATAATGTCTCCTCTAACATAATTTCCGGACTCCGCCACCGGATAAAAGACTGTCAACTTTGATCACCCAATGTATTGCAAGTAAATAAGAGCTTTTCACACTAATTTGAAGCTGTAAAACTTCTTCTTCTTCTTTTTGTGGTGCTAATCTTATTTCTCTAACTAATTTTTGTCAAAAATTTATTGTTCTCATTCAAGTTTTATTCGAAATTTATTGATTTTTTAAAATATATTTAAATTTAATTTGTTTATTTTTCAAACTAAGTTTAAGTAACTATATTTTTTTAATATAATTTTAGTGTGTAAAAAAATAATTAAATCAAGTTTAAGCTAAAGCTTAAAAAAGTAAAAAGCCATGTTGAATAGTGGCTTGTAATTTTTTTTTTTTTTATAAATTTAATGCCCTTTAAAAATGAGTTTAAACTTTATTTGCTTTTGAACAAAACTTGAGTGATTTGATTTTTTATATAGTTTTATATATAAATCTCAAAATTATCTTATAAAAAAATTAATTATAAAATAATTAGTTTGTTTGACAATAAGTACATTTTTAACTTTTTAAATTTTCTAATTATTTTTTTAAATGAGCTGAGTTCAACATACACTTAAAAATTTACAAATTTTAAAAATGGTCTAAATTCATAAATTTCAAGTAATTTAGTTCTCAATAGAAAATAGTAGAGAAACTACCCAAAAAAGAAAAAAAATTAAACCTCGATAACAAATTAAATTCTAATCTTTTAATTATTTTAATTTAAACCTTAAGTTTTTAAAATTATAATAATTCTAACCATCCACTTGCATCAATTAGTTAACAAATAATGAACAATTTAAATAATTTACCTTTTTTTTTTTATTACCGTCCATTACCATCCCCTTCTCTTTTTCAATTCATTGTTATTCCTTCATCATATCCATTGTTGGGCTGTGATTCCTACACCCAGTGGGGCGACCCCCACTGACGACCCCCAGTGAGGTGTCGCCTCCTGTAACATGCCCGGGGGGTACCCGCGCGCGTTAAACAGTTCGGACCCCCGAGATCTCTTTGATCTATTCTCACGAGTGTAATGTGAAACGTAGACGAGAGTTCAGATTTGAAAACTTTTATTGAAAATCCATTTTATTATCACATGCGACCCCCAGTACCCCCACTGGGGGTCGGAGGCATTTTCCTCCATTGTTATCACTACATCATTTTTTCCCATCCATTGTTGCTTCTCCCATTTTTCAATTCACTGCCAACTCTTTCTTTCCTTATTTGTAGCTACTGTTATTGTTCATTACTATTGATAAAAATTACTTACATTGTCTAATTACATTGTCTAAATTATTATAGGAGCGTTTCTAATACTTACTCAAGATTAAATTTAAATTTGATGAAACACGTTTATTTTTTCTCTTTCAATCCTGGCATCAAACCTATATCAAATGAGGGGAAAAGCAAAAGTTTTATCAAATCGAGGAAAACTTTAGCGTTTATCAAATTTTTAGAGAGAGACATTACGCTTCCTCATTGTCACGACTCAAACCCGCCCCTATAAATTTAGCGCCATAACCGGCCAGTAATCCGCGATTACCAAATGCCTGTTTAACAATAATGACAATAATACATTGTAAATGGGCTAGCGGAAGCCAATCAATAATAACATATTGTCCAATGAACTGTGAGGACCTGAATAGAAATAAACTTTCATATACATAGCCATAACCATAACCAGCTATGCCTATAAACACATATATACAAGACAAAATACAAGTTAGGAAATTAATCCTATTATCAAACACAATATTAACATAAGTCTTAAAACATTCTCTTCACTTAGCAAAATCAAAAGGGTGAATTTTAACCACCCAAAAAGCCTTGACACATGCCAGTTCGGAACCTCGTGTTGAGGCACAATAGCTGGCTTAACAAAATAAGGGTTCGGGTCGACGCCACTAGCTTTGGTCCAGTGCTTGATCACCTACATATATATAATAAACTGTGAGCTAAAGCCTAATGAATAATAGATGTGTAAAGAAGTTAAGAATGATGTCCTCAGAGTCTTTGAAACAATCGATTATCAATAGAACATTTTCAATCAATATCTTTTTGTTAATTAATCGTTCAATTCAATCAATCATATTCATATAGGTCATACGTGGTACATCCAATAGCAACAATACAATATGTCTTAAAGACCAAACAATTAATTGATGACCATCAAAAAATAGACAATAGTTTCAAGAATTGAAACTGACAGAGATCTCTGCAACAATAGTGATAACAATATCAATAACAATAACAATAGCAATATGCTATGGATGCCACAAATACAGTTCAAAAAGAGGATCATCATGCAATCAATTAAAAAGTAACAGTTCAGAAACAATATAATTTATCATTCAGAGAATAAATACAATTTGAACATATCTTTACAACAGTGTTACTCACAGTGGGCTTCTCGATACACGTATTATTGGTTTGGCGTTCGACCTAAACAAATAAAGTCAAGCATAACAACTCAATTACATTCATATTAATAGCCAATTCTATTTGATTCGGTTGTTACTTACCCAATAACTAATCGTCTTTACTAATTCGGTTCTAATTTTTCATTTATTCAATCTAATACACTATGAGATGCAAATGATCATGAAAACACTTTAAAACCATACAAACGAAAGTCCAAAAGGTGGAAAAGAGAAGCAAAAAACAAGTCGGGTTTGCCTAAACATAGTCGCACGTGCGGGGGTTCCAGCCGCACGTGCGGTGACCACCACCGCACCTACTTCTGCAAGTGTTTTTATTTCAGTATGCATCCCAAGTCTGCCCTATTTTTCGCATGTGCAGGGCACCAAGCCGCACGTGCAGCAGTGCTAGCAAAAACAATCCGAAAACTGCTCTGTTTTGGCACTGCATTCCTATACAAATTCAGCCTTAGTTTCAAGCAATTCAAGTCCCACAAACATTCAAGAACCCATCAGATTGAACATACTATCACGCCCCAAAAAATAAATACAAATAATCCAAATCAAAGCGATGAGAATATAAACGGAATTTGTATACTTTCATATATCAGAGTTTATATTACAAAAGTTATTACATGCATTATACTTTCATAAGTGTTCATTCTGAAACTACAGCATGTAACACTAATTAATAACAACAAAATAAACGCCCTACGGACTTATATCTTTCCAAGACATAGCTTGATTACAACAAAAGAGAGTCATTAGCTCTATACATTTAAAGCCCTTGGCTTGAATAAACAGTTAAACACAAAAATAACAAAAACAGAGCCTCAAGCTCCTAAGCCCTTCCAAGCTACGTTCTTGGAGGAAGCATATCACTTGTACCTGAAAATGGTTTCCCAAATAAGATGAGCCAAAGCCCAGTAAAGAAAGACTAACACAATATATGAGGTTTAACTAAGATATAAGTGTCAGATAAATGCTTAGCATACTTAACCAACTGACA